CCGCGGTTGAGGCTGCAAGCCCACTCTGGGCCGCATTGCCGCCCGCAGTCCCACTAGTAGCACCCAAAGTAGATGCCGGTTGTGATTCGGCGTTGGGCTTCGATGCAGGCGCCTCACTTCCGGAGGGCTTACTGAATAGGCTTGGGGTGGTGGTTGAGGTAGTTGCAGCCCCAGAAGTTGCGGGTGCGGCAGAGCTTCCGCCGCCCAAGCTCGGGAACAGCGATGTGGTTGAGGCGGGCGCTGTGGTTGTGGCGGTAGTAGCTGCACCAGTGGTTGCCGGTGTGCTAGTAGCGGCAGCAGGTTTGCCGAAACCAAAGCCACTTCCGGTCGAAGCTGGCGTCGAGGTTCCCGCAGTTGAGAATAGGCTGGTTGCCGTGCCCGCAGAAGCTGCTGTGCTACTGGTGTTTCCACCTAGGCTTAAGGTTGGTGTGCCACTGGATGCAGGCTGCGAAGAAGCGGGTTGTGCGGATGATGTAGCGCCAAGGGTGAATCCTGACGGTTTTGCTGGCGCGGCAGCTGGTGTCGTGCTACCAAGACTGAAGAGGCCACCCGCAGGTTTGGGCGTCTTCGCATCTTGTCCACCAGACGTCGATGTTTGATTTCCTCCTCCAAACAGGTTGGATGTGGGCGCAGCAGCAGCAGCAGGGGTAGCGCTCTTGTTTGCGTCGTTGGAGGTTGCTGTGTTTCCTCCTAAGCTGAACAGACTGGGGGTGGAAGAAGAGGTTGTGGCAGGCTTTGCGCCGCCAAACAAAGACGATCCGGCTCCAGTAGTCTGGCTGCTCTGTTGACCGAACAAAGAAGAGCCAGATTGGGCTCCACCGCTAGATTGGGCAGGCTGACTGAACAGGCTACCACCTGGAGGAGCGCCGGCTGGAGTAGTGGAGGGGAAAAGAGATGTCTTGTTTGTCGCAGGTGTGGCTGATGGTGCTGAGCCTGAGGCTTGTGTTAGCAGGCGCATAGAGCCAACCGGGACGTATATGGATACTCACTAGCAGCTGTACCGAATCCAAACGAGGGAGCAGAAGAAGTGGCAGCACCACCAGAGGAAGCTCCACCACCGCCAAACAATCCTCCAGCTGGCTTGGACGCATCGCCCTCCTTCTTTCCAAGTCCTCCAAAGCCTCCGCTACCAAAAGCCGACGGTGTTGACGACGCGCCAGCTTGACCTCCGCCAAAAAGACCACCGGGTTTGCCTGCAGGTGTGCTTGATGCTGCAGCACCACCACCGAAAAGACCAGATCCGGCTGTGTTGTTAGTGGCGCCGCCGAAGAGACCGCCGCTGCTGGGTGCGCTGGACGTGTTGTTGGTGCTGCTGGCGGTGCCGAAGAGAGACGGTGTTGCACCGCCAGTTGAGGGTGTAGCGCCAAATAGAGACTTTCCAGGCGTGCTGCTGCTGCCACTGCCACTATTCTGCTGGCCGAATGAGAAGCTCATGTTGGTGGTTGTATAAGGTCGGCGCTGGTCGATGGGTGTTTGTTGAAGGAGTTGTTGTTGAGGTCGGAGATGCTACTATCGAACGCGCAACTGGGCTAGGCGTGTCGCGACCGTAGAAGTAATTGCTGGACCACTGTTAATTGGCAAGTTGAAGTGGATGCGCGCAGATGTACACGACCTTCTCGCGCGTCAATGTCGCATCCAAAAGTTGGACAAACAGATGCATGGGTCGAGCTTAGCTCCGGTGAATTGTTGTTCCTACCTGGCCAGCGACCGGGATTCCAGACCGCCGCTCCCCGCTAATAGCAGGTGCCTGAGACTCCACGACGACGTCGAGGCAAGGAGGCGCAGTCTTTGGTTGTTCGCCTCGGTGACGCACTCCTCTTGCTACCTACACTCAATTCTACCCAAGATCAATTCCAATTTATTTTCTACAACCTCCTGTTGTACACGTGTACATTAGACGAACATCCAGCGGCTTCTCGACATGACGGACGAGCTGGCACCACCCCGCAAGAGCGTAGAGCTGGAGGACCCGGGTGCGAAGGAGCTTGGTATGCCACACCATGTGCTGATATGAGCGGCTCGTACCTAACTATACGCAGCCGAGTCAAGTGACGAGCACTTCTCCGATGCGTCTGAAGGCCAGGCTAGACGGTTTACGTTGTCGTCGCCAATCCCAATAACGCGAGTGGAGCGGGTCGACGATACGCCAGCACACGGTGAAGTGCCAGGAACAGAGGCATACAACAAACGCACCCAAGACGCTGTGCCCGACGAGGTTGAGATTGTGCCAGAAGGCATGCGAAGCCGCAGTGCGTCACGCGTTAGCGTCAGTGACCGGCCCATTACGCCAGGAGGAACGCCCATCCCAAAGACTGTGGTTGAGAAGATCGATCCCGACGAGCCTAGCTACGGTGATGTGCCTGGCACGGAAGCACACCAGCAGCGTCTGGCGGATGCGGAGCCTGATGTAGTCATCAAGGCACCACAGGAGCCGCAGCGCAGCAACTCAGGTACGTAGGGCATTTCCTTGGTGCCTCCTGCGTACCATTGACGACGGAAGAAGGGTCACCAACCTCGCATGACAGATCTACAATAAATCCGAGCGACGACGCAGCCGAAGCGGCGCCCGAAGCCAAGGATGTGGTTCAACAAGAGGGCAATGACGACGACGACGATTTTGGCGATGACACAGCAGACGTAGCAGCTGGTGATGATGATGATGATGATGACGATGGGTTTGGGGACTTTGACGAGTTTGAAGAGGGTGAGGAGGGTGACGACGATTTTGGAGACTTTGACGATGGGTTTCAGCAAGGCGAGCACGAGGCAGAGACGTCATTTGATAAAATGCCAGAACAAGCTCCTGTACCTGCCCCTTTGCCAGGTCCTGTAAGTCGCAGCAATTCTAGCCCACTGATAGTATTGCTTGGACCGTTTGTTACTGTGACATTCTGACTAACCTCTTGCCCGTACAGCCCGTCTTGGACTTTGAGCATCTCACATCACCTGAAGACATTACTAGCGCAACCCGGTCTTACCTGGAGGACATGTACCCTCTGCCAAGAGAGATACCCAGCATATCTACCAATCCGGAGGAGACACGGTCCATTTTCTTGTCGGAGCGCAGCCACTCGCTGTGGAGCCAGCTGGTTGCACCGCCACCGCTGCAGCCGCCAGACTGGGTACGATCACGGATACGCCGACTGTTTCTCGTCTCACTGGGTGTGCCCGTAGACCTGGATGAAATCCTGCCAGCGTCGAAACAAAAGAAGCTTATCCTACCGTCAATCCACATACCTGGAGAGCGGTCGCCCCGCCCTTCGTCCGATGGGCGCAGCAACGGCGGGCCACTGGGGCGCATTAGACGCGAGAATGAGTCGTCGACATCAGTCGATTCGTCAGGCTCAAAAGTCGACCGCAAGCGAAAAGGGCCCCCACCACCTCCTGAACTGGACATTAGCAGTACGACACAGTTGTGTGCAACGACCGACGCGGCGCTCGAGGGTCTGACGGACGACGAGCTACGGATGCACATTGATCACCTCAGGGCGTTGCAGGAACGGGCAAAGGAGGTGTTTGAGTATTGGCAGAAGCGGATGGAGAGCGCGCTAGGAGACAAGGACGCATTTGAACAGGTGATTGAGAGTTTGGTGGCCCACGCCAAAAAACTGCGGTAGTCTTGTCTAAGCAAGTGCATGTAATGTAAGAAGATAGTTTGGGTGTGACTGCGAGCTCGTCTCCCGCGGGTGATTGTGATGGATGTGTCTGTTCGCGTTGGCGTTTTGGTTTGGTGACCCCGCATTGTGGGATAGCGCGGGTTGGCCAAGGCTGGCTGGCACGCGGCGGGGGGCAGTCTGGGATTTGTTCTTTTCTCTTGGCTTGCCCGTAGAATTTCTTTTTTTTCCCTAGAGATGCGCAAGCTGAAATCAAATGGAGGGGCTGGAAGTGACTGATGGCAAAAAAAAAGATGCAGTATGCTGTGGGTCCAGGTGTAGTGTGACTGTATAGATATTTCGTAGACACTGCATGAGGGTGTGCAGGACAGCATGGTGAATAAACTTCTGCGAGAGAACCAATCGGCATGGCAGGAGCAATTTATGATGGCAGTGGCAGTGGCAGTGACAGCGCTCAGACGAGCGGATGTAGCAAGTATGTACTCCGTATGCGGAGTCGATCCATTACGATCTACGCAGGCCAATCGTGGCAGTGAAGATGCCGGGAGCATATGGGCGGTCTTGACCGGGAAGGGCCAAAGTTTGCGGGCATGGTTAGGCGGGATGCGGTGTGGCCATGGGGGTGGTGAGTTGAAGATGGCGTTGTCGAGTAGAGCAAGCAAGAGCATAATGGTATGGGCAGCATGTGCCGGGAAGTAAAAGTAAGCGGGCACAGAATGCGCCTAGGCAGCGCTACTATAGGCTCCGGGGAGACCCTGAAGACGACCATGGCAGCCTCTCCCAACGCGGTAGTCTGGCGTCCGAGCGCACCCCACCCGTCGACCCATTGAGCAGCGTACCCTCGTCTTCTCCCGTCCGTCAGCAGCCCCAGGCATGCTACTATCACAGATTGAGATGCGAGCAGGGCACGGTAGGGAGATTACCACGGTGGTGTTGGTGGTGGTGGCGACGAGCGGCTGGTCCTGGTTAGAGTTGCCGAGTGCAAGTGAGATGGGCAAAGGTGAAACAAAGACGACTGACTACTTGGGCCGTATAAAAGGAAAAAAGGGGACGATCAAACAGGAGAGGGCGTGCGGGCAGCGTCGCGCACCGTTAAATTAGTGGCGCATGCAGACAGAGTTCGCCGTCGACGTTGAGGTTTGGTGCCCGCGAGGCCAGCGAGGCCAGCGAGCCAGTGGCAGATGGGGGATAGGGGTAGGGCAATTTGCCACACCACAGGGCAGTGGGTGCAGCGTGGCGCCTCGGCCGGACTGCCCTGCACACGCTCGTACGTTGCTGCTAAGCAGCAGTGCTAGCAGAGGCGGTCACGCTTTGCCATGGGTGCCCGCCCCAGGCGATGCAGGCCGATTCCATGTGTGTGGATTGTCGGTTTGTAGGTATGCACCTCTATACATAGACATAGTTTGCATCTTTACACAACGGATGCTCGTTCATATTCCATCCCAGTGTACTCAGGAGCCCGGGCAACATGCAGAGCAGAAGGCGTGGCAGCGTAGCCATGACGTCGCTGCCGCAGCACATGACGGACACAACAGGGCCTGCACCGCTGTTTGGCAAGCCCCCTTCTCTCATTTCGCCGTCACGAGGGCGTCGCTGGAGGAAGCTAGAGCCGTTGTCGTATCCAACTAAGTCGGCAGACAGCGCAGGCACAGGCGTCCTTGCAATAGGCGTTGTCGTCCCGTAGCGGCGGCGGGCAGGCAGGCAGGCAGGCAGGCAGGCAGGCGAGCAAACGGACCAGCGGACAGGCGGGCAGCATGTGTGACTCGACCCGGCTCGACTCGACTCACTGGATTCGACTCGCTCGTCGCGTCCGGCGTCCGCCGAGGTGGCCGTGGTGGCCGTGATGGAAGACTGGGGCGTTGCAGGCGTGGCATTTGGGTGCGGCGCCATGGATTGGCGTGGGCCGACAGGCCTGCTAGCCGACAACTGACAGGCGCAAATGCCATGGCAAGCATGGCAGCCCTCTCTTCTCCCTCCAATACGGCAATTCCTGGGCCGATCCCTTTGTGAGGCAGCGTACCACAGTTTAGCCTCCAATTCACCTCTTCTGCATCTTCTGCCCTCAGCCTGTCACCCTGCCATCGAAGCTCCTTCTCCTTGTCCGTGAGCATCTGTGGCTTGTGCGTGCGCCTACTGTACGTTACTTAGTACACACGCCTGTACCGGCTTGCAAGACGCCCTGGCTTTTCATTTGCCCACCCCATCGCCAGCACCCTACCCACGACACGCTTATCCTCTTTCCGCGCCCGCCTGTTCTCCCGGCGGGGCCTCCCTGCCCTTCGCGCCTCTTCGACACCATCCACCCAACCTCATCTCGCCTTCCTCCCTCTGCATTGCCTTTCCGTCTGTAAAGATTATCTTGTTCCGCCCCAGACGTCTGCTTGACCATCTGCCCACCCCCCTCCTAATCCTCAACCACTGACGTCCTCGCCCTCTCGCCTCGCTCTTGCCGCCTCCAATGCGCACATAGCATCCCTCGAGATCCTTCCTCACCCCTCTGACTCCAGCCGCTGCTGCCGCTGCCCACCGCCGCTGCCGCCATGGCTGCAGAGACATACTCGGGCGTCGCAGCCATCATCCGCAACCTCGCCCGCCAACACGATCCCGCCAGAGACCCTAGCTTCAGCGCTCAAGTCTCTGCAAACGGCGCCAAAACCGCCGCAAATGCAATCGCCCTGCCCGGCCCCGAGAGCGAAGAAAAGACACAATTAGAACAAGAGCTATCGGCCCTGTGCAGCCGCATAGACTTTCTCGAGCACAAGTGCAGCCATGCTGCTGCCAAATCAGGCCAATTTCCTTTGACGCCCGCACAAGAGTCCCCCGAGGATGGCGTCCTATACACTCCTGCCGGTGCCATTCGCAACAGCAGTGCCCCGCCTGGTCAGGCTCGTCGGGGTTCAAACAAGGAGCGCGCCATCTGGGTGTCCAACTGGCTCGCTGCAAAGGAAACAAATGGCGGCCCTGAGGAGCCTGCCGCTGCCCTCACCGAGGAACAACTTAATTATCTACGCGTACACTTGAACCAGCAGGCCGACCAGATCAGGAACCAGCGCGAACACATTGGTACGACTACATTCATGCATCGATATATATATATATTCGTTGCATGTTTTATCTTCATTTGAGCCTCATACTAACATTGCATAGACAACCTGAGCCGGGAAGTGAACAAGCAACTGACGACACAGAGCATGGTGTTTGAACATGGCATTGAGGACATTGGCGCACTGAAACGAGAACTCGGCAAGCACCAGCAAGGTATGCTTCAACCCCACCACACGTCAGCAAACTGCTACTAACGCCATACAGCCAATCTGGCTTTCCAGAAAGCATTACGGGAGATTGGCGCGATTGTCACGGCTGTCGCTATGGGAGATCTGAGCAAAAAGGTTCTTATCCATGCAAAGGAAATGGACCCTGAAATCACTCTCTTCAAACGCACAATCAATACCATGGTGGATCAGCTGCAAGAATTCGCCAGTCAAGTCACATTCCTCGCTCGAGAGGTCGGCACTGAAGGCAGATTGGGCGGTCAGGCAAACTTACCAGGAGTTGCTGGTATTTGGGCTGAGCTGACGGATAGTGGTACGTCTTGATTCGTGTCCCGCTATCGGGCCGATACTAACATGTCGCATAGTCAACATGATGGCCAATAATCTCACCGAACAGGTGCGAGAGATCGCCGTAGTGACGACTGCTGTCGCTCATGGCGATCTCAGCCGCAAAATTGAGCGACCGGCCCGAGGAGAGATCCTGCAATTACAACAGACCATCAACACCATGGTGGATCAACTACAGTCATTTGCAACTGAAGTCACAAAGGTCGCTAGGGATGTCGGTACCGAGGGCAAGCTCGGTGGACAGGCCGAAATTGCTGGTGTCAAGGGCATGTGGAACGAGCTCACTGTAAACGTCAATGCCATGGCACAAAATCTCACTACTCAGGTGCGAGACATTGCTCAGGTCACCACGGCTGTCGCCCAAGGCAATCTTACCCGCAAGGTCGAAGCCCAGTGCAAGGGTGAAATTCTCGAACTCAAGAACACAATCAACCGCATGGTGGACCAACTGCAGCAGTTTGCACACGAAGTCACCAAGATTGCAAGAGAGGTCGGATCCGAGGGTCGCCTCGGTGGACAGGCCACTGTGCATGGGGTTGAGGGTACCTGGAAAGACCTCACTGAGAATGTGAACGGTATGGCGATGAACCTGACAACCCAAGTGCGAGAAATCGCAGAGGTCACGACAGCTGTCGCCCGAGGAGATCTTAGCAGAAAGGTCAAGGCCGAGGTACAGGGCGAGATTCTTTCTCTGAAGATTACCATCAACACCATGGTGGACCGTCTGAATACTTTTGCGCAAGAAGTCAGCAAGGTCGCCCGTGAAGTCGGAACTGACGGAATCCTGGGTGGTCAAGCCCAAGTCGACAATGTCGAAGGCAAATGGAAGGACCTGACGAACAATGTCAACACCATGGCCCAAAATCTCACATTACAAGTGCGTAGTATCTCCGAGGTCACGCAAGCCATTGCCAAGGGAGACATGAGCCGAAGAGTACACGTAGATGCCGAGGGTGAAATCCGATTACTCAAAGACACCGTCAACGACATGGTTATGAGACTCGACGAATGGTCTCTTGCTGTGAAGCGCGTAGCCCGCGATGTGGGTGTGGACGGCAAGATGGGTGGCCAAGCCGATGTGCGAGACATTGACGGACGCTGGAAGGAGATCACCACGGACGTCAACACCATGGCTCAAAATCTTACGTCGCAGGTGCGCGCTTTTGGCGACATTACCAACGCCGCAATGGAGGGCAAGTTCACTCAAATTACTGTCGAAGCTTCTGGTGAAATGGACGAGCTGAAGAGAAAGATCAATCAGATGGTGTCCAGTTTACGAGAGAGTATCCAGAGGAACACGGCTGCTAGGGAAGCCGCTGAGTTGGCCAACAAGACCAAGTCAGAATTCCTAGCTAACATGTCGCACGAGATCCGAACGCCTATGAACGGTATCATTGGTATGACGCAGCTCACGCTAGACACCGACCTTACCCACGCGCAACGAGAAATGTTGACCATCGTGCACAACCTTGCTGGCCAGTTACTCACCATCATCGACGACATACTCGATATTTCCAAGATTGAAGCCAACCGAATGGTCATGGAAGAGATTCCGTTCTCCATGCGCGGAACCATATTCAATGCACTCAAGTCTTTGGCATCGAGGGCGAACGAGCGGAAGCTGAACCTCGCGTATGATGTTTCGTACACTGTACCCGACTATGTTGTGGGTGATTCATTCAGGTTAAGGCAGATTATTCTCAATCTTGTCGGAAACGCCATCAAGTTTACTGAGCACGGAGAGGTCAAGGTCGCCATATCGATGGCACAGGAGCAAGACTGTGGACCCGACCACTACGTTTTCCAGTTTGCAGTCTCTGACACTGGTATTGGAATTCGTGGTGACAAGCTCAACCTCATTTTCGATACATTCCAGCAAGCAGATGGTTCGACTACGAGGAAGTTTGGTGGTACCGGTCTTGGACTATCCATCTCGAAGCGTCTCGTCACTCTTATGGGTGGTCGCATGTGGGTCGAGTCCGACTTTGGCAAAGGTAGTGTGTTCTACTTCACATGCAGGGTCCGTCTCGGCAAGCCAGAAATTACCGCTATCCAGCCCCAGCTCGTCGCATACAAGCAACACACGGTGCTGTTTGTCGACCAAGGTAACACTGGTTTCTCGGACCAGATCATTGAACACTTGAAGGCTCTGGATCTTGTACCCATGGTCGTCAACTCGGTTGAAGAGGTGCCCGAGACTACAAAGAGAGCCGACATGCCTTACGACTGCGTTATTGTCGACAATGATAAGACGGCACGAGAGCTTAGGATTGCTGAGCGTTTCAAGTACATTCCTCTTGTCATGCTGACACCACACGTCTGCATAAGCCTTCGATCTGCACTGGAAAACGGTATCTCAAGCTACATGACGACACCTTGTCTGCCAATCGACTTGGGCAACGCACTCATTCCAGCACTGGATGGCCGTGCTGCGCCTCTTGTTTCTGACCATTCCAAGTCATTCCAGATTCTGCTGGCCGAAGACAACGCTGTCAACCAGAAGCTTGCTGTCCGAATTTTGGAGAAGTACCACCACAGGGTCACTGTGGCTAACAACGGTCTCGAGGCCTTTGAGCACATCCAGAAGAAGCGCTACGACTGCGTGCTTATGGATGTGCAAATGCCGGTCATGGTAAGCTGAATAATGTTGGATAATGGATCCCAACTAACATGATGCAGGGTGGTTTTGAGGCCACGGCTAAGATCCGAGAATGGGAACGTGAGAATGGTATTCCATCTACACCAGTCATTGCACTTACGGCGCACGCAATGGTTGGCGATCGCGAGAAATGTCTTGCAGCACAGATGGATGTAAGTTGATACGACCCCTAGATTGATTCTCGATACTGACCTGAGCAACAGGACTATCTCTCCAAACCCCTTCGTCAAAACCAACTCATCCAAACCATTCTCCGTTGTGCCACTGTTGGAAGCACAATCTACGATCACACAAGTGAGCCACGGTATACGGCATCATCACACATCCCCAACCTTGACCTGCCAGGAAACAGCAAAGACAAGGCAACCACGGGAGCGGCGTCAGCGTCGACAACAAGCCCCAAGAAGCGACCGCAACTCGAAGCACGAGGCTTCACGGACCGTGGCGGAGGCGCTGATAGCCCCAACTTGTTGGCGGTGGATCAGACGGATAATGGCAGTGTCGAGAGAGTACGTTCCTTGTCCGCTAGTTTGTGAGTAATTGACCCTAATACATGTGCGTTGTAGCTTTTGCTGCGGAGTCACAGTAGCTGAGTTTGTGTGACATAAAGGAAGAGGAGAAGGCTTGATTAGTTACGTATTCGAGCGCTCTTCAGGCTGAATCCTGCCAAACGACAACTGCATCAACAACACCCACCTCGACGACTATCGACGATGAACGATGGAACGACATTCTCGACGCCAGTAGCGCGTTGTAGCGATGCCAATCGGGAACACGCCGGTTATCGAAGTAATGACGTTGATGGAAGGTTGGAGCTAGAGCAAGAATCGCCCTTGTTGTTTTCACCAACGCTAGCTATGGAGCATTTTTTTTTTCGGTTGGCGTTTCTACCGTGCTGGATCCAGTTTTGCTGCACGCCACACATGACCTTTTTCTGTGGTAGTTTTTTCTGCATATCTCGGCGTTGGTTGTTATCATTGTTTCGGGGAGTTTGACTTTTTAGGGTCTTCCGTCAAGTGTGGTCTTTTAGGGTACCTTGGCTTCTTTTTAAAACTTTGGAGATACAGGAATCTACCTGGTCGGCTTGGAGCACCGCTGTGAAGTAGTAACGTGGTACATATATATACATGTGTTATTTCTTGTATCCCTATTGCCAGTTTATCTTTTGTCAAGTACTGTTCGTGATGCATGACCATTCTATGCATATGATGAGATAAATTAGTCTACATTGTGTACCTTATTCGTACAACTCGCGTGACGTCGTTGTACATGTGGTATAGGGCGCCAAGCCTAGCCTGGCGTGTTTCTCTTGACCGGAGGACGTGCAGCCACGGCGCTGTCAGAACAAAATTCCTTCAGCCGTTCGCCTGAGCAATAGTCGTGTCAGCATAGCATAGGGTGCCTTGTAACAAGTGCCTACTGCACTACCCATTCTGCACCATTTAGGCTCTGAGAGATTACTTTTGCCGCATTGCAGATGCAATGCAACCCAAAGTCCAGATGACGTTCAGCCGCGGGCTTACCAGGATCAGCCTATCGATAGTAATCGAGGACGCGACAGACGCACTCACTGGTGGCTTCCCTTCGTCCTCTGTGCGCGCAACCCCCACCACGAGGCTATGGCGTTTGCGATACGGTGGAATCGGAGCGCCTAGCTCTTTTCTTTTTCCCTATTCCGTCGTTTTTCTCGTTTCTCTTTCGCCATCGTCTCGTTTGATCAAATACGAGGGTGTCGCAGTTTAAGTTGCACAAAAGAACCCCCGGCGAAACGACCGCGCAGCGCGTCGTGCCGTGTCATTGCAATTGTCTCACAGGGCTTCCTTTCACTCTCATTTGGCCACGCTGCAGCCTGGAAGTCGCTCGCGGCCTCACGGTGAATCAGCTACGTACAGCGGTCACTTTTGACCACTCCTTCTTCCGCCCTACACTACACTCCCGCCCTCGTCCCGCCCTCGATCTATAAGACCCGTCTGCGTCGCACTGTTCTCCATCCAGCGCACTTCCCCTGTCCCGAAACCCCCCAGTTCGACGTCTATCACATTCGCTTCGTTTGTCTCGCCACACTGCTGTGGTAGCCAGCCTAGCCAGGATGGATATGGCAAATGATATCAAGGCCCTTCAGGCAAACATTGCCATGATAAGAGCGATCCTCCCCACTGTTGATGATATCGATAAGCCATACTATGAGCAGCAGCTCCATGAAATGTCCGAGAGGCTCCAAAAGCATCGCGAGCAAGCCCGGGCTTTTCAGTCGGGATACGCTCCTGCCGTTCCTTCAAATGACATACGAAGGCCGCTTTCGCCACCTCGCGCCCTGCCATCGCATTCACTCAAACGCAATCTAGAGCTAGCCGGTGGCCCTGAGGCCAAGCGTATCAGCAGGCAACCAAGTCCAGATATCACAACACCCCCCTTGGAGTCGTGGTCACAATCATTACCTCGACGGGAGTCAAATCATGTGCATCGATCTGATCAGATAGCTTTCGTAGATTTGACCGAGTCTGATCCACCTACCCCTGTACGATCCCCCCAGCCGCCCATGCAGGCGCCCACATACTCGGATCCGTTCCCAGAACTACACAATGCCTATCGGGGAGCATTCGGCAATGGCCATTTGATGCCGGCCAATAATGCTAGTAGGGATTACATGTCCGTACCAGAGCTGGCTGAGTTCATGATGACTCCAAACCCCCCAGGTAATAGCTATGGGTATCAGCAGCAGCCGCACGTATTTCCAGGGGCTCAAACTGCTGGTTACGATTACTATGCCAATCATGCGTTGCCTCCTTACATGGATTCGCTTAGAGTACCTCCGTTCATGGGAGCTGGCGATAGCGACGGTGACGAATATGGTGGCTTTCCAGGGAGTCATGTCGCTGAAACAGAGGCTATAGAGAAGCTCCTTGAGAACTTCAAAGGCGATGCTGAGAAGACTGAGAAGCGAGAGCCAACGCCCGCCATCATGACCTGCACTCTCAAAGAATACCAGCGAATTGGTCTGACCTGGCTTCTTAAGATGGAACGTGGTGACAACAAAGGCAGTATTCTAGCTGATGACATGGGATTGGGAAAGACGGTAAGTGAATCAGACTGCATGTTGATGACCTATTTTCTGATCTGACCTGACTGATCTGCTGCTAACAACATGTTCAGATACAAGCTCTTTCGCTTATTTGTGCAAATCCACCCAGTGATCCGGCCTGCAAAACAACTCTCATAATCGCACCTGTGGCTCTCATGCGGCAGTGGGAGAAAGAAATTGAACGGCATGTTGATCCTCGTCACAAGCTTAGTGTATATCTCTACCATGGTACTGGCAAGAACGTCGAATTTTCCCGTCTTCGTCAGTACGATGTTGTGCTGACAACATTTGGCTGCCTTACTTCGGAATACAAGCAAAAAGAGTCCCGGAAAGAGTCGATGCTGCACGAACAGGAGACACAGGACCCTTCCATTCGTCGTAAAGCCAAGGATACGCTTGCATTGCTCGGACCCGAGTGCATGTGGTATCGTATTATCATTGACGAAGCACACAACATCAAAAATCGCAACAGCAAAGCCTCAAAGGCGTGTGCGGATCTCATGGCCCATCACCGCTTGTGCATGACTGGAACACCAATGATGAATAGCATCGCTGAGTTGTACCCATTGATTCGATTCCTAAAAGTGAAGCCTTATTGTTCGTGGAACAAGTTCAACACAGACATTTTTAAAGTAAGTGATAAGTACTGATGGATTTATGTGCTACAGGCTGACATTTCTCAGACGGTCAAGAATCCACGTACAAGGAGTCAAGGGATGGATCGTGTTCGAATTCTGCTGGCGTCTCTCATGCTGCGAAGGCAGAAGGACGCCAAAGTGGATGGACAGCCAATCTCCAGAATTCCGCCCAAGCACGTCGTTGTCGACAACGTTGATTTTAGCGACTCAGAACTTGAACTGTACCGTGCTCTGGAAACGAGGACACAGCTTCAAATGAACCAGTACATTGACGATGATGCGGTTTCATGTAAGTTTACTCAAGTTAGTTTTGACTTTTTAGGGTTGCATGCTAACAAGGTTCAGCTAACTACGCAAACGTCTTGGTCCTCTTACTTCGACTGCGTCAGGCCTGCTGCCATCCACACCTGATCAAAGATCTTAGCCAGCCAGCGACCGAGGGTATTGACGAGGACGACCTCTTGACCCGAGCAGAGGGATTGAATCCAGACGTCGTGGTACGATTGAAGGATCACGACTCGTTCGAGTGTCCAATCTGTCTCGAGGCCGACCCTAATCCGACTATTATCATTCCGTGCGGACATACGGTCTGCGGCGAATGTGTCCAGAAGCTCATTGATCCCGCAATGCGGGCAGCTCAGCAGGATGGCAACGATGAGACAAGCATACCCAAGTGTCCGCATTGCCGTGGCGAGTTGAGGGCCAAACTGATCACCGACTACAAGCACTTTTGCAAAGTCCATTGTCGCGAGCGTCTCGCGTCGGCTGACTTGGACGATGAGGCTGAGGACGACGATTCTGACTCTGACGTTTCCGATTCTGAAGATGAGGATGCGCCCGATGTTAACAAGCAGGGCAATCTGGCCGGATTTGTTGTTGATGATGACGGGGAAGACGGTGATGAGACGGGTGGCTCTGCTCCCAAAGCAAAGTCCAAGAAGAAGTCGAAGAAGCGTAGCAAGGGGAAAGGCAAGGGCAAGGCGCGCGCTAAACCAAAGTTAACTTTGGCTCAGCTGAAGAAAGAGTCTATGCGCAGCAAAGCAGCCAAAAAGCGCTACCTCCGTCGTCTGGACAAGACATATGTCCCATCTGCGAAGATCAACCGAACCATCCAACTCCTCCAAGAGATTCGCAACAACGACCCAACCGAGAAAACACTAGTATTCTCCCAATTCACCTCCCTCCTCGACCTTATCGAAGTCCCCCTAAACCGAGAAAATATGCAATACCAGCGGTACGACGGCACCATGAAGATGGACGCCCGTGCCGACGCCGTAAGCGCCTTCATGGACGACGCGGACCAAAACGTCATGCTCGTCTCTCTCAAAGCAGGTAATGCCGGTCTCAATCTCTGGAAAGCATCCCAAGTCATTATTCTCGACCCCTTCTGGAACCCTTTTATCGAAGACCAGGCTGTCGACCGCGCCCATCGCATGCCGCAGACACGTGAGGTGCATGTGCATCGCGTGTTGGTGCCCGATACGGTGGAGGATCGTATTACGCATTTGCAGGATAGTAAGCGGGAGATGATTGGGGCGGCGCTGGATGAGCGCGAGTATAAGAATCTGACGCGGTTGGATGTTAGGGAGTTGAGGTATTTGTTTGGTATGAAGTAAAGGGGAAATGGTGAGGTTATGGTGATGTGGTGATGTGGCTGTATGGCTGTGGTTCATCTCGGTTTCTGCATCTGAGGGCTTCGCATTGTATGCGGATGCGGGGGCTGGTTGAGGACTTTTCTTCTCTTCTCTTCTCGGGGGGGGTTCATCTTCGCACACCTTTTCTTTGATACCCGATCTTTCATGATCAAGGCGGTTCGGTTTCTGGGGGCTTTTTTCTCTCTTTACTGTGTGGCACATAGATGGATGGATATGTATGCCCCTCTCCCTTTCAGCAAAGGTGGTGAGAGAAAATGCATGTGGGTTTCAAACTACATAGGTAATACAACTTTCTTACTTTCTTTCTCTCTTTCTTTCTTCCTTCACTTTTCTTTCCCACCTCTATACACCTAACTTTGATCGTTAACTCTTCAAACACCCCCCCCCCCTTCTTCTATCCGCAGGTTTTTTTCTACAAGCCAATAGAAACTAGGAATCTCGATACGTCGACATCCATGCAAATAAAACCCCCCCACTGGGACATATGTGTGTGTACCTGATGACTCATCAGACGCACACACACATATACACCGGAGTCTAGACTTCTGGACTTTTGGACTTTTGGTGCCTAAATGTCACTTCCTACATGCAAGCAGCAGCAGCATTCTTCTTCTTCTTCTCCTCACGTGACAACCCCCTTTCCACACATAAGCCCTGCATAGTCTAAGGAACCCCATATTTTTTTTCTAAAAAAAAAGAAAAGAAAATGCAAGGTAGGTTTCCGCCATGTGTGCCGGTAGTGTTATTGTGTACTGTACTGTAACAACCTACGCGCACATATGCAAATGGGGTTACGCAAATTTTGCAAGTTTTTGCAAAGAACGGTCTCTCTCTCTCTTTCTTTCTTTCTTTCTTTCTTTTTTGGGGGGCGACGGGTTTGGATGATGGAGTCGGGAAATGGGCCGGGGTTGGGGGTTGCGGTGTCATTATTACTAATGGGTGAGAGTGTGGGACTTGGGATGATGCTAGTGGATAAAGGGTGTTGTTGATTACTAAGGGGGGGGATGTGGGGATGGGGATGATGTGTGCAGAGGGTGTGGATATTTGTGTGTATGGAGGGTGAGGAATCAAGAGGAATATGGTTGTGTAGTATGTGTGCATTTCGAAATGTTCCAGATCAGGGGCAGGAAGGCGGGACCAGGGTGTATGTTGTGGCGTCTTTTGGGTTGTGATTTTTACTTTTTCATTGTTCGGTAGACGGGGAAAAAGGTTCCGTGGTTACTAGTGGCGAGATGGGGAGAGATGTGGTATGATTTATGTATGTGTGGAGAGATGCGTACATGCATAGTTGTAGAAACGAAACGAAATGTGTGGTAGAGTGCGGCTGATGTTTTGGAATGGGGAACAAATGAATCGCACTAGTACTACTATGGCTATACTTAGGTGCGCGCGACCACGCGGGGGGGGGAGAAAGGACCGATTGAACATGCACGCTACAAACATGGAAATGTTGCGAACAGCCATGCTTGATGCTTGTCGGGATTTTTGAAAGCGAAATGCAGGTTTTTTTTGTGCGAGTAGCATGTTATTGCTGGCTGGAACTAGCGCACAACTGGGGGGATCGCAGCGCAGGAGACGAATCTGCCGATGCAAAGAAAAAAGGCGAGGCCAGACCCCGTCCCCGCCACGCCAAGGCCAGCCGCTTTCCCAGACGTGCGGTTGCGGATGAATGGGGCGGACGAGGGAGAGCGACAGAGTGACAGGTGGAGCGCGCCAGGAAAACACAACACGACGGCTTGCTTGGTCTTACCAATGGCCATGTGGCCTCATTGCGTACTTGTATAGCGCTTCTTGTGCGTTGTTGTCTCTGGGCTCTTGTCACCATGCGCGGATTGCTGCACTGTCAGCCCAGAGCTGTGTCCTGCCTGGCCTCGACCATACAGGAGCTGCAAGCGAACACCCAACGGTCAGCGCCTCTAGCCAGATAGCGATATACCCGCCTGGCTAGAGTAATCTCCTCCCACACCACCCCCAAAGCGTCCGGCCTGCATTCCCCATCGACTGTGCACTCCAGGGTTCCGACGCGCCATGCCGACGGCCGCTCCGCCGCGCCCTGCTCTGCTCTGCTCTGCTGTCTTCCTCTGCTGCTACTGCCTCTTGTCCTCTCCTTCCGCCCTCCGCTGTCCCCCCCAAAGCCTCTTGCTGCTCTTAGTCGGCTGCATGGTTGATTAATTGTCAGCCGTCGTCTGCCTGTACCCTTGCTGCCGTGACCTTGGTGGTTGCACACATCCATTCACTCGACACACCACGCCTCCGCCCTTCCCCATCTCCCAACATCCACACTTAGTCTGCATGCACTGCGAGGAATGGGACACACACGACGCTCCTCGCCCTTAGCCTTGCCTCTGACAACGTCTGCTGTCTGCGCCGCCCGGTGACATGGCCAAAATGCGCATCCCCATCCGCGAGCAATTGGGCTGTTTGGTGCTGCTGGCCTCGACCATAGGCCTGGCCGTCGTCGCAGTCGCAACATGGGTACACACTCCTGCCTGCTAACAATGCCTTCTGTTGCTGACATGAGTAGCTAACCAACCACGACTTCGTGCTCGACATACGGTATTTCCTCGCTCCTCAAGCGCCCTCAGGTTTGGGCGCTCTCGATGCTGACTGTTGTGCCATGCAGATCGACTCGCCTCACGTTAACCGCCTCGCTCAAAGCCGCACAGCTATCCTCGAACTTGGCCCTCATGCAAATCCTCGTCCAACAAGCGGCGAACCGTCTTTCTCCTCAGGCTGCGCTCGGCCGCTACTATCGTGGTAATAACTCGATAGAGAACTGGACCCGCGTTCAAGAAGACTACGATGCCATCTTCTCGGGTGATGTCCGGACCCGCATCGCTATCCAGGCCCAAATCTTCCCCTACAACTCGTCAGACCGTGCAGTCTTCGGCCGTACCGCCGTCACGATGATGGATGTTGTGCTCCCTATCCAGAAACCAGACGGCCAAAATGCAACGCTAGGTGACCCCGATTATGGCTTCATACCCGAACTCTATCCTAAATTTACTGTCGAGTCTATTCCGTTCAACTCGTCTTTTAACACCTTCAAGGCGCATTTTGAGGGAAGGACTATCGATAACACGAGTTATCTCTTGCTCGGCCCGTATCGCGTAAACGACTCTCTTAGTCTCGTCTCCATTACCGCGCCCATCATTAACAACACGTCCAACATCGATACGCTCGGATGGCTCACGACTGTTCTGGACGCCTCGCTCATTACCAGTGTTGTGGATGCCATTGACGGTCTCGACAAGAGTGGGCTGACTCTCCTTTTTGGCCCCAACAACGTTACCAACACCTTTCCGTCCAACTACATGTACGATGCCGCGAATCCGACACCTCCGGAAAACGTGCAGGTACGCTTTCTTGTACCGCCAACCCACCGAAACGACCTGAAGCGACACGGCAAATACGACACCGAGCTTGAACTTCCTCCCTTTGACTGGTCCGAATACCCAGCCATCCGCAAAGGATTCACCCAGGCGACCGGTGCTACTAGTAATGCTGGTAGCATCGTTCCTACGGAGAATGAGCTAGGCGATCAGGTTGCAGTTGGATATGCTATTGTCCGCAGCCCCATGGTGGATTGGATGATTGTGGTTGAGCAGACGCGTAAGGAGGTCTGGGAGCCCATTAATCATCTTCGGAATATCATCCTCGCCTGTGTTTTTGGTACTATTGGTGCCATGCTGATTGCTGCGTTCCCCGTAGCGCATTACTCGAGCCAGCCAATCAGACGGCTACGGGATGCCACTAAGAAGACGGTCTCGCCATCGGCCTTTGAAGAAGACGACGACTCAAGCTCGCATCATGATGACGGGCCCGATGGCCCAGACGATGCAGCGCTAGCTCGCAAGGAAGGCTTCTTTGGTCAGATTATACATTACCGCAGAAACGCCAAACTCAACAAGGCAGAAAAGAGGGAGGCAGAGAGACGTAGGCAGTTTCGCATCCCGAGCAAAGTCAAGGACCGCAAGCACTTTATCCACGATGAACTCACCGATTTGACTACCACCTTCAACGAGATGACGGACGAACTGATGATGCAGTATGAAAAGCTTGAAGAGAGAGTAGCACAGAGAACGGCAGAGTTGGAACAAAGCAAAAGAGCTGCAGAGGCTGCGAATGAGAGCAAGACTCTCTTCATTGCAAATATCTCGCACGAGCTCAAGACGCCGTTGAACGGTATCCTGGGCATGTGTGCTGTATGCATGTCAGAGGACGACCCGGTCAAGTTGAAACGGTCTTTGGGTATTATCTACAAGAGCGGAGACTTGCTGCTGAATCTATTGACGGATCTCTTGACCTTTAGCAAGAACCAGGTCGGACAGCAGTTGAGCTTGGATGAGAAGGAGTTTCGCTTGCGAGACGTCAGCTCCCAGGTCTTGGCTATTTTCGACAAGCAAGCAAGAGAAGGCGGCATCAAATTAGCTGTGGAATTCGAAGGGCCTTACGAGAACAATCTGGATGACAACGGGCGGCCCAATGAGCTGCGTGATCTCGGTCCTTTTGGGCTTGGCCGGCTGAAGGACATGATTCTGTACGGAGATCAACATCGAATTCTGCAGGTGGTCATCAATCTCGTATCCAACAGTCTCAAGTTCACGCCCCAGGGTGGCTCCGTCACGCTCACGATCCGATGCCCCGGAGAGGCCCGCATGCCAGACAGCCGCAAGGCTTCGATTCAGTCACGGCAAAGCTCGGCACGCAACTCAAAGGCGCGGGTAAGAACGTCGGCTTCGGAAATTGGATCGGTATCGGTAGCCACGCCAAATCACTACGATACTGCAAACGCAATCAACGTCATGGACAAGGGAAATGCGTATTCGCATTACATGCTTCAAGAGCGGGCTGCGACACCGCCGCCTGGGCGCTGGCTTACGTTTGAGTTTGAGGTTGAAGATACTGGACCAGGTATCCCTGACCATCTACATTCCAAGATCTTTGAACCTTTTGTCCAG